TCACGCAAATTCTTCTGCTAGTTGGGGTTTAGTCCAAATCTGCATCCTTTCCTTCAAGGCTCAGGGGTCCAAGATTATCTTCTGTGTCTATGTTAAATGGTTTCCCTTTTCTTTGTTGAAGAGGGTCTGTGCAATCCTTCTGCCTACTCCGCCATCTTGCCCCGCCTTCCCATTGATCTTCTTATTGTTGATTTCTAATTTGATAGCATTGTGATCTGAGAAAATGCTTTGCAGTATTTCAATGTTTTTAAATTTATGAAGGCTTGCTTTATGGCCTAACATATGGTCTATCCTGGAAAATGTTCCATATGCACTGGAAAAGAACGTATATTGTGCTGTTGTTGGATGAAGTGCTCTGTAGATCTCTATACGGTCAAATTGGTGGATTGTATTGTTCAGCTCTTCTGTATCTTTGTTGAGTTTCTTTCCAGTTGTTCTATCTTTCATTGAAGGTGGTGTATTAAAGTCTCCTACTATGACTGTGGTGTCATCTATTTGCCTTTTCAATTCCATTAAAGTCTGATTTATGTATTTTGGGGCTCTTTCATTGGGTCCAAGGAGCTCTGGTAGCATAGTGCCTAAGGCACTTGACTGCTAACCAGAAGGCTGGCAGTTCATACCCACCAGCCACTCCTCAGAAGGAAGGTTGGGCAATCTACTTCCATAGTGATACTGCCTTGGAAACCCAAGGAGGGGTTGCTATGATTCGGGGCCGTCTTGATGGCACATAACAACAACAATCATTGGGTCCATAGATATTAATTATGGTTATATCTTCTTGTTCAATTGATCCTTTAATCATTATATATGTCCTTCCTTGTCTTGTATGGTGGTTTTTGTCTTAAAGTCAATTTGATCAGAAATTAATGTTGCCACTCCTGCTGTTTTATGGTTGCCATTTGCTTGATGTATCTTTTTCCAACCTTTGATTTTTAGTCTATTTTTGACTTTGTCTCTAAGGTGTGTCTCCTGTAGATAGCATATCGCTGGATTTTGTTTTCTTATCCAATTTGCAACTGTCCATCTCTTGAGTGGTGCATTTAATCCATTAACATTCAGTATAATTATTGACAAGTATGAATTGGTTGCTGTCATTTTGTTATGTGTTGTTTCCCTGGTTTCTTTGTTCCATATTATTTTCTGTGCTGAGCTCATTATGTTTACAAATTGTTATCATTTCCTTTGTTGCTGTTGTTTTAGTATTTGCTGAATATTTGTGCTTGTCCTCTTTATGACTGTGATGTGAAGGTTTATCATTTTTCCTTGAGGTTACCCTGTGATGTATAATTAAGAGCATTTTTTTTTTTTGCAAATCATAAACCTGATAAGGGAGTTGTATCCAGAATATGTAGTCCCCGGAGGGTGCAAATGGTTAACAAACTCAGCTGCTAACTGAAGGTTGGAGGTTTGAGTCCACCCAGAAGTACCTGGAAGAAAGGCTTGATAATCTATTTCCCAAAAAGTAGCCACTGAAAACTCTATGGAACACAGTTCTACTCTGAAGTGAATGGGATCACTATGAGTCAGAACAACGGCAACTGGTAAAAACTCAGAATATATAAAGAACTCTTACAATGCAAAAATAAAAAGATAAATAATCTAATGTAAAAAAATGACAAAGAATCTAAACAGAAGAATAAACTCACAGGCTTTTAAAACATAAAATGTTCTCACAAATAATATATAAAAGGACAAGGGGACACATACCTAATGGATTTCTTCTATAGTGAAATGAGCCTTCCACAGAATAAGTAGGCTGGAACATACTTCCCAGCTGATGTGCAAGGACTTGATTTATATCCTTAAAGGAGATTTGTCTGATATTCATCAGTTTTGAACATATTTTATGGATAGCATCATTCTCATGAAAAAGGAGGGCATGTGAACATCGGTACAGGTGAGAAAGGGTCAAAATGGAGTTGTAGTTCTGAACAATAACCTGAAGTGAAAAAGATTAGAAACAACAAAGGCAGGAGTGAATAGTGGTTAAGAGCACAGAGTCTAAAGTCATCCTGCTCACATTCTGGCTCTATCACTTTTTTTTCCTCACTTTTATGAGGTTTATTAGGGAAGTTAAAAAAACAAACTGAACTCACTGCTGTCGAGTCAGATCAGACTCATAGCGACCCCTCCTTGGGTTTCCAAAGCAGTATCACTATGTAAGTAGATTGCCCAACCTTCCTTCCAAGGAGTGGCTGGTGGGTTTGAACTGCCAGCCTTCTGGTTAGCAGTCAAGTGCCTTTGGCACTATGCCACCATAGCTCCCTATTAAGGAAGTAACAAGGTCAAATTCAGGTTCAAGAACGCACTCAGGATAAAATTCATCCATCAAGACACTGGCTCTGTCACCTTCTACCTGTTTATATGACCTTGGACAATATATTTAACTTCTAAGTGACTAAGTTTCCTCATTTGTTAAAAAAACCAAACCAAACCAAACCAAAAACCACCTATTGCCATCCAATTGATTCTGAGCCATAATGACCCCATGTTACAGGTAAGATGGGGATAATTATTATACTGGTTCCTAAGAGTTGGAAAGATGAATGATATAATGCAAGTAAAACAGTTAGAACAGTGCCTCATACAAAGTAAGGGTTTAGTGAATGTTGACTATATTTATCACCCTTCCTACAAGGAGCTCTGGTAGCTTAATGGTTAACTATTCAGCTGTTAACCAGAGGGTCAGCAGTTCAAACCCACCAGCTGCTCCATGGAAGAAAGATGTGACAGTCTCCTTCTATAAAGATTTGTAGCCTAAGAAACCCTATGGAGCAGTTCTACTCTGTCCTATTGTGTCTCTGTGAGTCAGAATCCACTTGATGGCAACTGGGGGTTTTCCTTCCTACTTCATTTCCTATAGTAAGTTGTCTCACCTCCATTTTATTGATTCTTCTACATGAAATTGGCCTATATTCAAACTTCTTCCCCATGGAAAGAAAATAAAGTCTGAAGGTTGGCAATGGCACCATGAACATGGCACCATGGCATGAGGTACAGGTCCCTACTTTTTATACTGTAGCCAGAGAAACTAATCCAGGAGTGGGTTCTTGAGAGGAGATGCACAATTGTCTTCTTTGGAAATTTTAAAAACAAGGATATCTTATTTATTTGGAAAAGTTTAAGCAAAATTAAATGAATTGTACTCATGAAAGTACATGTCTGTATAATCACTCCTGAAGTGGTAACTTAACATTCCAAAGAAAGGGTGAGAATCAATTTCCTACCCACATTTATTTCAATTGGACAGAATGTAAAATATAATTTTGCAATTAATATGTGCATACCTCACCAGTTCCATAAGGCCATATAACCTGATTCATTTTCAAACAGTTGGAGTACTGATCTTGTAAATTCTGGGTAATAAAGGCTCCTAGCCCTGATCCTGTGCCCCCAGCCATACTCATTATGATGAAAAAACCACTCAAAGAGTCACATTTCTCCACTTCCTTCTGAATTAGATTCATTATAGATTCTTCATGTCTGGGTCCATGAACAGAGTAACTATGCAATGAAAAGAGATAAATACAAACACCTTTAAAATTGACCAGAGAGATGCAATGCAGAGAAAGATATAAGATAGAGCTTTTCAAAGCTGTGCAAGTGAACTAATTCTCATTATAGGTATACTAATTGACAAAATTTGAAATACACAAATATGTTTAACAGAAAGAGAGTGCATTTATTAGGTATAGGTAGTGTAGTGCCTAAGGCACTTGACTGCTAACCAGAAGGCTGGCGGTTCCAAACCCACTAGCCACTCCTCAGAAGGAAGGTTGGACAATTCACTTCCATAGTGATACCGCCTCAGAAACCCAAGGAGGGGTCGCTATGAGTCGGGGCCAACTCGATGGCAAAATAACTACAACAACAACAAGAAAATTCTCTTTCATGGGATGCTCATTTACCTGGATCCTTCAATTACCAGGTAGTTCTGCAAGTCTGTGGTACAACATGATATTTGATATTCATAACAAGAGTCCTAAAGCAGTGGTTCCAACTTTGCTGCACATTAAAATTACCTGGGGACTTCTGAAAAGTCCAAACACCTGGGTGCAAAAAGTGCAGGGAGGCCACATGTTCTGACCTCCTCTAACCCCACAAAAGGAAGACAGAGTCACTATCAATAACCCTAGGCCTATTCCTGCGAGGCCAGACATGTTGCCTCCCTCCAGTCCTTCCTCCCAAAGCACCCACCACCTCTCTCCTGCGCTCGATAATTCACTGCAGTGGCCACACAGAACTCACAGGTTACGGGATTTATTAGGGAAGCACCAGGCTACAATTCAAGTTCAGGAAAAACACTCAGTCTCTCTTCCAGCCCACCATCCCTCAGCCAACAGTCTCTCACAGTCTCTCTCCCAGCAGTGCGTGCCCCTCGGTGTCTCACTCAGCAATGAGTGTCTCAGGAGCGTGTGTCTCTTTCAGCAGCACGTCTTCCTCAACCAGCAGTCAGAGAGAGTTCTGCCTCTAGGAGGCCTCCTTTTGAGCCTGGCAGAGTGGTCAAACTAGCCAATCATAGCATCAGAATTCTAAGCACCTGAGAGAGAGTGGGAATTCCCAGAACATTGTTTTGTGCCACTCCCAACAGAAATACTCCAGGTGGACAACTTTAGCAATCAGGAGCTCCTCAGTTGCTCATAGCAAATCCCACCTTGGAGTTTATTAAGACTTATGGGTAGAAAAGCCCCACTAAGTAATTTACTGCACTGCACTGGGCTTCACCTCAAATCAGTTAAATCAAAGTCTCTTAGAGTGAGCCTTAGGCAGTGGGGTTTTCCAAAGATCCCCAGGAAACACTAATGTGCAGCAAAGCTCCAGAGCTATCTACTGCCTTGTAATGATCTTGCCCAATAAACCAGAGTACTTGCCAGATGAAGATAATGTATTGACAGTAAGTTAATTAGCAGAATGACAGTGAAGAAGGTGGAAAACCTGTTGCAAGAGGTCTTTGGTTTCATCATTACCCGTACCTGAAGCACAGGCAGAAAGACAGAATGAGAGTTTTTCTGGGTGAATTCAAAGGTTAAATTTTAAAGTAGCAATTTCAAGTATATCAACTATACAATTTAACTACATTATTTATTATCAATAAATATTATCAATAAATATGTAGCTGTAACCAAACTGCAAATTATACAGAATTCTTCTTACCCATATGCCCAGTTGTTTCCAGAACCTTGTTTTTGACAGAAGCATGCACACTGATCATATTTCCATCGTCCAGAGTGGGCAGACTTTGATAGTGTTTGATTGATGACTTTTGGTTCCATGTCAACAAGAACAGCCCGTGCAACTAGAACTTGAGTGGGAAAAAAATCAAAAGAAAAAATATTTCACATTTCTTATTTGGGTTAACTCAGAGCATAAACTTCTGGGTCCAGAAAAAAATATATAGCTGTCACCCTGCTTTGAAATCTAGGTGGGCAGCAGCAGGTATATGCAGATAGTTCATAATGCCCAGAATTCTGCTAAGCAGGATAAATCAATGTGGGGTAAAATGATCCCTTGGTCAGGTCTACAAATACCTGTCAAGTGTTTATAATGTACCACACACTATGATTGGAACACAGAAATGAAGACAACATTCAACTGGCCCTAGAAGGACTTGTGGTCTATCGGGGGAGATAAAACACATAAAGAACAGCATATTCAGAGGCATAAAATACCATGGGCAGGACTGTTGAAGTGTAAAGATGGAGAGGGTAGAAGAAGTGATGAAAGGGGCTGGAAAGGAGGTAGAAGCACTCAGATCTTCAACGTTCTTGTACAAAATGCTATAAAGCTTGGAACTTTATCTTTTAGGAGAATCCACTAAATATTTTCAAGCAGGGGCAAAAATAGTCATATCTGTCTTTTTTTTCATATTGCACACAGTAGTGTAAAGGACAGACATTAACAGACAGAAGACTCCAGATAGGAAAACCCAGAAAGAGAATCTTGAAATAATCCAGGTGAGAGAGGACAAGAGCCTGAACTAAGTCAATGACAGTGAAGATAAAAATAAATAAATAATTACAAAAAAAAGTTTCAAGAGATATATAGGAGGCCAAAACAAAAAAAAAAAGAAAATGCAGATCTTGATGTTTGATGGTAGAATGGCAATAAGAGAAAGATAAGGAATACCCTTGGAGGTAGAGGTGTTGAGTCTTGAGGCAGGGCTTTGAACCAGTTCAGGCATGGCCAATGAAGAGAAATTGGAAGAGACTAGAATTTAAAAAATTTGGATGAAGTAGAATGATAGCCAGAATAGGAAAAGTTACAGGATGAAGTTCTGGAATGGGAGTCTTGGAAGAGGTTACCTCAGAGTAAAGAAGAGAACCAAGGACCACACACATACCTCCATTTTCTTGCTCATTGAAGAATCTTTCTTTGCAAGATGTTTGATATGCTTCATTCTCTTTCTTAGAGCAGAGTCCCTGGGAACAGTGCGAGTCACTAAATAAAGTATCAAACACTTCAAAACCAATCTGATTGCCACACTGACCAAGTTGCACTGTTACTATTGACATGCTGAGCTATCAAAAAAGTGAGAAACCTGCAATAGGAAAATATAGGCCTTGAGAAGCACTGTATAAGTAAAAGAACAAATAATATGCTATATATATTAATTATACCTCAATAAAAAAAAATTTAAAAATGCCATGTATGTACAATGTTGCAGATCTAAGGTGCCAGTCATTCAAGGAAGTTCTCATTTTCTTTATGGTTTTGTGATTTGTAACTTACTGCTCCCAAATACATTCATACACACTTCCACAATCAGATTCATATTCACTATTTTCCTCAGTATCCATTTACAACAAAATAAATGCTGACTGAAGGAATTATTAATACACACTTCACACCGCATAGACACACAGAACACAGAACTTACCTGAGCAACAACGCATTTAATATTCTCTCCTCTAAATAATGATTTTCTCACCTTTCACCAACCTCCTTTCTGGCCTGGTAACTACAATAGCACTCCGTGTTGAGCTCCAGTAAGATAGGAAGAAAGGTGGAGCTCGGAGAATGCAGAAGACCAGATAAAATAGCAGATCAGGTCTTCATTATGCTTAATAACCATAACAGATCACTTTTTATATAGATCTCACACCAGGTGTATGCAGCAATGGAAATAAGCAGCGGTTTGTGAGCCAGGCTCTGTACTTTAAATTTTCAAGCAATCCTAGAAAGTAAGTATTATCCACTTTTAAATAAGGAAACCGAGGGTCCGGAAGATTTTGTGACTTCCCAAGGCCACCAGATTAGTAAAGAGCAAAACCAAAATTCTCCCTTTCCCAGGAACCCCTTATTAAAATAAATCCACTCACTGACAGCCTCGGTACCAGTCTTTTCTGTCTTGTTCAAACTTCAGAGGGCCAACCTCTCGTTATACGCATGCTCTCCTTAAACGACACAAAACTGCCGAGAACGAAGGCGCATGCTCCACAGAAAAAGCATTTTGCGGATGGGTAGTGTGGTGTGTGTATGCGTGCGCGCGTCTGTGTGTTTCTTCCTATTCAGAAAGGTTAATTACGCATGTTCAATTTCAATTTATCAACTTCGGGTATGGTACGCATGCTCACTGTCCATCAAAAGCTTAAGCTGACAATGCGCATGATCCGGCTTCCACCCGAGGCTTCGTCTGGTGTTCTGCGCATGTTTCAGCCAGTACCTTGAGCCTGGTGATAGTTCTACGCATGTCCACTGGCCGCAGTTCGGCTTCACCGGACCCTGTACGCATGCTCTAGTCCTGAACTTGCGGAGCCAGTCTAAGGCCTAGGCGCAGTCGCACTAAGCCTAAGCAGCCGGTGATGGCGGTAGCGGCGGCGGTGGTTGCGGCGGGTCCGGGCCCATGAGGCGACGACGGAGGCGGGACGGCTTTTACCCAGCGCCTGACGTCCGAGACAGGGAAGCTGAGGACATGGCAGGAGTGTTTGACATAGACCTGGACCAGCCAGAGGACGCGGGCTCTGAGGATGAGCTGGAGGAGGGGGTGAGGCCCGGGTCTCGGGGGGCCCGAGGTGACAGGGCTGGGGCGGCGGCTAGGGCCCAGGAAGCCGGGCGTGTCCGAGAGCGCGGAGACCCAGGGGGGCGCGAGTAATCGCCAGGAGAGACTAGGGCGCCCCGCGCAACCTAAGACGGGGAAGCCGGGCGGGGCTGACCTGGCTCTAGGCGTGAGGCCGCTGAGGGGCTCGCAGGTGCGTTGCGCCCCCAACCCCAGATAAGCACAGCCCCAAGCATTCTGTTTGTAGAGGGAACTAGGAAGGACGCGTGTTCAATTCCTCGAGCTGTTGGACTTGAGTGTGGCGGGGCGTGGGTGGTGTGAGCGTATGTTGTGGGGAGGGAGGCTGCGCTTGTTAGGTGTCGCGTAAGTGCAGGTGAAGTGTGGAAAGGTTTCTCTTCGAGTGTAAAATTTCAGATATTAAATCCTCAGACCTCCCACAACCACCTCTCTTCTCGGCCTGTCGCTTCTCTCCTAGGAAGCGCTCAGCTGTTAGAAGTGACAGCTGAAAACTTCTGTCGGGAGTAGCGCTGCCGCTGCTGTTACAGCCACCAGGAGTTTTATTTCGGGAGCAAGGGGGCTCTGCTGCATCTTCCAGGGTTTGTTTGTTTGCTTTTTTTTTTTTTTTATTTTTAAACCCCCTTCCGTGTGACTTTTTGTAAAATCATTTGTAACGACACACGGCATTTGTAATTTAGTTTTCTCCTAGATGAAAATGTCTATTTTTCAAAATAATTTATGTAATTTTAGTGGAAAAAATCCACTGTTGACAGCTGTGATTTGGCTTGCCAAAAATAAGTTGCTTGAATTGAGACTTGTGAATGGTGGTGTGAGGTTTTTTTTTTGCTGTAATTTAGGATGCTAAATTTAGAATTGTGTTTCCTAATGCATAGCTCGGTTTTACCTTTGCTGTCTTAATAGTTTGTTATTGCTTATGAAATATCACGCATTTTTCAAGATGAATTTACTGAAAAATCATAAATTGCACCTGAAGTTAAAAAATGATGTTGTCATACAAAATCATTGCTGATGATAATCTGCAATAACCTGGTGGTAATTTAAGTTCTAAATTCTACTGTCTAATGAGTACATGGTTTAATGACTGACGTCATATGTTTGCACGTTTGAACTACATAAGGGGCTTCCCTTCCCTTTCCCCACCTACAGTTTTCCTCTTGTGCCAATGAATTGCAGCATATTTGTTAAAAGATTTCCATGCTGTATATAAAGAACTTAGATTAAGAAACTAAATGAACTAAAATAATAATATACTTTTCAAAATCAAATGAGTCCAAATAAAAAAACATACAGTATAGAATGTGGGTAATAAGGTGTGTGCTTTTAAAACATGTCTGAGTGTGGAATTCCGTTTATTAAGTGAACACTGGTACACTAAATAACAATTTTAAACAAATATGAGATTACTTTCTTAATACTCACGAGCTTTTGGTACAGTGGCTGAGGGATTCAGCTGCTGATCAACAGGTCTTCGGTGTGAACCTACCAGCCACTTTGTGGGAAAAAGATGAGACAGTCTACTTTTCATAAAGACTTATAGCCTTGGAAACCCTATGGAAGCACTTCTACTCTATCCTGTAGGGTTGCTATGAGTTAGCATCGACTCAATGGCGGTGGGTTTGGGTTTAGGTTTGGGTCTTAATCCTGGTAACCCTGCATCTTTTTTTTTTTTTCCTGCCCCAAGTTTCATTACATGCACCATACTGTTACCAGTTATAGTGGCTCCATATGGTAATGATCTTGGACCAGGGCAGGGAGAAAAGTAGATAGGGAGGGTGCTTTATATCATCATCAGTTAAAATGATAGAATTTCCAGACAATGAGTTTATCTTCTATTGAAAGTACAGCACTGTGTTTAGAGTCTTGTTATAAACTGGGATCTCTTTGAGATGTGCTTCAGAACAGAAGGTACCAATTTTTGCCTTCTCCTGGGCTTTTATTTTGCTGGCTACAAGCAAAGTAGGATTTTGACAGGATGTGGAAGAGGTGGTCCCAGAAATTGTTAGGAATAAGAAAGAGAAAGAAATATCATAGTTACCCTGGGAAGAGGAATTTGGGGAAAGTGCCAACCAAACTTGACTCAGACATTGAGTAAATTCTGACTTGTGCTGACTCCATGAGTATCAGAGTAGAACTATGCAGCATAGAGTTTTCAGTGGCTAATTTTTTGGAAGTAGGTTGCCAGGCCTTTCTTTCAAGGCATCTGACAGCAGCCAAGGTTGTGAACCATTTACACCACCTTAGGGTTTTGAGGAAGAACCCTTCAGTAAAATATATTTTACTTAGCAATGCTTTGGGAGTTGAAATTGTTTCTTCTGGTTGGCTATTCTAAGAAGTGCCTCAAGGTGCATGAGGTTGGGATGGAATTGGGGTGGCAACCTAAGGAGAATTGGTGACATCTAGATTACTCTAAAAATTAAAAAATTGAAAATAATAAAAGTTTAGTTTCTTATAAAATCTATTTTCTTGTCATTTGTGAATTTTTTGTTTTTTTATGCATTTCTATAAACTTTAATAGGATTCTTTTTTTTTTTTTAATTATGATTTGGGTGAAAATTTACAGTGCAAATTCACTTTCCATACAGCAGTTCACATACACTTTGTCTCATAATATTGACCACAATTCACCACAATACAACAGCTCCCCTCCCACTTCCTCCCGACAGTCACTTCTTCCCTTCCCTTTGTCCATCCCTCCATGCTCCCCTGCCCTCTGAGCTGTCTCCCTGTACATAAACAGCCCTTCTTTCTCCCATGATTGTTCTCTCCCAGGAGTGTATCTACCTCAGGCAAATGTTCAACTCCTATGCCTGTCTTTTGCTTGGCTGGAAGCCACAGGTGTGGGTTCAATTCCAGACCTTAAGGGCAGCTAGGGGCCATAGTCTCAGTGGTTCCACCAGGCTCTATCAGAACAGCAAACTGGGTGCCCTTTTTTTTTCTAAGTGATTTTGAGTTTTGTTCCACATTGTTCTCTTACTCTATCCAGGATCTCCTGCACTGATCCTTTTCTAAGTGATTCACAGTGGTAGCTGGGCACCATCTAATTCTTCTAGTCTCATGGTCATAAGGCTCAGGTTCATACGGTCCACTAGTCCCTTGGCCTGATTGTTGCTATGCATCTTTGGTTTTCTTCATTCTTTGCTTTGGACGAGGTGTGACCTATTGTTGCATCTAAATGGCTGCTTGCAAGCTTTGAAGACCCCAGTCACTACTCATCAAAGTAGGATGTAGAACAGTGTTTTGGTGTTGTTGTTGTTGTTGTTATTTGCCATAGAGTCGGCCCCCGACTCCTAGCGACCCCTCCTTGGGTTTCCGAGGCAGTTATCACTACGGACGGAAGTAGGATTGCCCAACCTTCCTTCCGAGGAGTGGCTGGTGGGTTTGAACCGCCAGCCTCCTGGTTAGCAGTCAAGTGCCTTGGCACTATGCTACCAGAGCTCCCGTGTTTTGGTGTGGTTGTTGTTATTTGCCATTGAGTCAGCCCAACTCATAGCAACCCCTCCTTGGGTTTCCGAGACAGTATCACTGCGGAAGTAGATTGCCCATCTTCCTCCTGAGTTTGGTGTAGTATGTTACGCCAATTGAGCACGATATCTCCTGTGACCATGGTCCTGAGCCCACAGGTGTGACAACTTGCTCCATCATGGTGGTTGACTGTGCCTAGGAAGTATCACAACTTTGGCCCCTGTTAGTTTTAGTTATGTGGACATTCTTACAGCATGTACAAATATGTATGTAGAATTTTTTGGTTTTTTTTTTCCACCAGAAAGCATTATATTCCTATTTGGAGATTTATACCTTTCTAGCTATGTTACACTGAGCGAATGAATCCTTATTGGTACATATAATGTATTTACTTAATGTAGTTAATTCTTCAGAGAGTAAAAGATGAGAAAACTGAACTGATACACTTAAGGATAAAATTGAATCCTGCTGTTTTACTAATAAAGGATCCTGACTAAATGCATAAAAGGAGTATATTAAAACTAATGAGTAGGCGGCATTGAGGAAGAGGAAGACATAGCCTGGAAGGTACAGACAACAAAGATGAACCCTTTTGCATATACAGTACTATGTTGTCAGCGATGGCAAACATTGATCAATGGGTGGATAGGCTCAACAGTCAGGAATGTCTAGGCAGGTGGTAGTGTGCCTGTGACCATGTATAGGGTTGGCAGACAATGTTTCTACAAGCATATTTGTATGTGCTGTAAGAATGTCCAGGTACATAGCTGACAAGGGACAAGGTTGTGGTGACTTCTTGGCCATAGCCAGCTACCCAGAGGGAGCAAATAGTTGGACCTGTGTGTTCAGGACCATGGTCACAGGGGACATCAAACTCAGTTGGCATAACATGCTCCACAAAAACATTGTTCTGCATCCTTTGTTGTTGAGCAGCCCCTGGGATCTTAAAAGGTTGCAAGTGGCCATCTAGATGCAAAAAAGGGTCTCTCTTCATCCAGAGCAAAGAATAATGAAGAAAACCAAAGACGCATGGCAATAATTAGTCCAAGGGCCTGGTAGATGATGTGATCCTCAGCCTATATGACCATGAGACCAGAAGAATTGGATGGGGCCAGCTACCACTGTCAGACACTCAGAGGGGGGATCAGTATAGGAGATCCTGAATAGAGTGGGAGAACAATGTGGAACAAAACTTAAAATCATTAAAAACGACCAGGTTTCCTGGTCTGACAGAGCCTGGTGAGACCCCTGAGACTATGGCCCCTAGCTACCCTTAAGGTATGGAATTGAATATACTCCTGTGGCTTCCAGCCAAATAATAGACAGGCATATAGGCTGAACATTTGTATCAGGTAGATATACTACTTGGAGCAGTCAATCATGGGAGAACAGAGGGCAGTGTATGCACAGGGAGACAGCTGGGGTGGGGGTGGGGGTGGGAATGCTTGGAAGGGAAGGACATAGGGAAGAGGTAGTAACTATGGGGAGGAAGTGGGAAGAGAGCTGTT